ACTGGATTAAATGAAGAGATGGATCTTGTATGTTTTTTGTAAAGGGAAATTGTTGGCATGACAATTATCCCTCATTGATTAAGATCAGCTGTCAACAATTTGCAATTGTGCCTTTATAAGTGTGTTGTTGCTTTTTTGCCTCATGAGCACTGAAGAAAGCATGGGCTGATGCGTCTGCTCTTTGGTCTGTTTTTAAGACACCTTGCACTTTTGTCACTTTTGCATATGGAAAATAAAAAACTATATTTTTTCTAGACCTTTTTTTGGTCTGATTGGATTTTTCCAGTGTGCGGTCAATTTCAGCTACCTGTTAGTAAAAATTACTAAAATATTGTTGGGGAAAACAACCTGTAAATGTGTATATATATATATATATATATATATTGATAAAAACAATCTGTCAGTTTTCTTGAGAAATCCCTATTTCATTTAAGATAAATGCAGTCCACTTGTATCTTACCTTTTATACGTGTTGAGGACCCATGTAAGAAGAGACACGATCTCATTGGCTTCCAGATCTTCAGCTGCGAGTTCCTGCACACGTGCCGACACTGATTTATGATAGAGGTCTAAGAACACCTGGAAGGTGTTGTAGTGTGGCGGGAAGCACTGCACCATCAGATTCTTCACCACGGTCAGGTCATCCAGGATGTATTTCCTAGTGATCTCCAGCAACCTCACCAGCCACATCTTGTCAGACTCGCGTGTTTCTGACTGCGTGCTCTCGATGCGAGCACTCACGGTGCCCTCTAGGACTTCGTTCATTCGATTTTTCCAGCATTTGGGCCTCCCGGGTGGGATGAACCCAGTCTGCTTCTTACGGTCCAGCATCCTGCGGTCGATCTTCTCTTCACGCTCGATGATTCGGACCACAGACACCAGCATGGTGGGGTCGCGGCGGACGGTGACCATGGCGCGTTGGAGGACCATCCAGAGTTGTTTGGAGAGTTCCTCCGACAGGCCCTGCACCTGGCCGAAGTAGCCACGAATGAGGTTCATGTCATGGACGTTCTTGCTGTCCATGCGGTACTGCTCGTACATGAGGTCGTCGCGGGAGCACTCCAGGTCCATTAGCTTGCGGTGAGCTTGAAGCAGCTCACCCTGCTCGATCAGATCATGGGTCTCTCGTACGATCTCAGGTACTGTAGAGGAGGGAGCAAAATGTGGGTGCAGTGTCAACAAATGCAAATCATACCAATATAGCACCTAGCATCAATTATAAGACAAAAAATGTATTATTTTCCACAACACAAGGTGCAATCAACTGAAAAATTGCTCATAAATATTTGAAAGAAATACATAGTAAATAAATAAATACATACATACATGGTAGTAAAAAATACTAAAATATTGTTGGGAGAAAAACAATCCGTGAATGTGCATCAAAAAAGTACATAACTCAATATAAAGATGTGTTTAAATAAACCAACCTGTAAATGTACAATTGCCATAAAAATAGCTAATAAACAGTTTAAATAAATGTGTTTAAAATTTGGAGAAAACCAACATTTAAATGTGCAATAAACTGACAAATAACTAATACATATTTTATAAAATTAACTAACTAAATGAATAAATACATTAGTAAAAATGACTGAAATACTATTCAAAAAAACAACCTGTAAATTTTCAATCATCTGAAAAATAGCTAATGAATATATATGTCTGAAAAATTAACTTACTAAATACACACATATTTACATACATAAATTGTGGGAAAAAATACCAAAAACTGTAAAAGTGATGTCAACAGGAAAAAAAAAACATATTGGGAAGAAAGTAATAACAATATGATTATTGCTATTTTTATTAGTACATATTTTAAATGACTAAAAAAACAACCTGTGAACCTGCAATTAATTGAAAAACAAATTATATTTTAATTGAGAATCTATGATAAATGACCCAACTAGAGTAAATGAATTGTGCACAGTTTTCTTCAACTCAAGCAGCATCCGGCCTCACCTGAGAAAATGTTTTTGAGGTTCTCGACAGCTGAAGCCAGTTGACTGTGCTGAACCACAGCATCTTTCACGTCCTTCAGATTCTCTATGGTGTTGATGCTCTGCCTCCAGTCTTTACTGACGTCTGCCAGAGAGTTCTGGATGTCTTTCACATCACACAGAGCGTTATGGAGCTGCGTGAGGCCTGTTCGTACCCCATCCAACTGAGACTGAATAGCAGCCTAAAAAGTGATAAAAGGCTTGGTTTAAATGAACTCGTAAAACCATTCCTCGGATCAACAAATGGTTCAATGCAAGTAGTGTCACCTTTAATCTGGCTTCCACGGATGCTTTCTTGCGCGCCTCTCTCCGTCTGTACTGCTCCACTTTGTCCAGCTGGTCAGAGCGCTGCAGCATCCCAGCAACCCTCTGCACTGCCGTGGCAACAGCCTCTCTGTTCGTCTCCTCCATAGTAACCGATCCCAAACGGCAGGGTTCAAGGTACTGAAATGGAAAAAACAGCAAGGGTTAAAAGTGCTGATAGTGACCCAAACTGCAGGACAAAAGATACTGAATGACCCGACTAAATAAATGTACTCAGTCAGAATGATTGAAACTGATGCAAAACAGCAAGGGTTAATTGCACTGTAGCGTTATTTTAGTACCACTGAGAGAATACCTTTTTTATTACTATTTTGAATTACTATTTATTTTTATGTTCTCTGCTTTAATTCTGCTTCAATTTTATTTAAAGTTTTAGTAATTTTGTTGTTTTTATTAGTTTCTGCTTAAAAAAAACATGTCTATATAGCTTTTATTTCATTTTTTATTTACATTTTAGTTAAATTCATCAAGTTAAACTACATGAAAATAAGAAATAAAATAATTGTACATATTTTACACTTTATTTAATTTCAGTTAACGTTTGTTTTATTTCAAATAACAAAAACGTTTTTTTTTTTTATGGTTTTAATTTTTGTTCCTAATACACTGAAGTGAATCAAACAGCAGACGTTAAATCTTAACAAAATGACATAAACAGCAAAGGTTAAAGGTACTTAAGTATTTTAATATTTGGTGTGTTTTGTGTTTTTGATATACATTCATATATCTGAGTATTTGCATATCTGTATTTGCCTATGTTTGCAGCTGGTTAAACATGCAGTAACTAAGCTAACACAAACAAATAAAAATACGTACACCTGCTCAAAATAGGCATGGTTTAGGAAAAAGATCAAATGAAACTGTAATCGGTTTTATTTATTGTAATAATCGCATATATCTCGCTGAGTTTCTGTGCCGAAAGGCCCACACTGACAGATGCTACCTGGCTAACAACATTAGCATTCAGAGGGCTGCGCTTTTCATACATATATCGTTCAAATCTCGAGGTCATGTGAAGGTACTCACCCGGACCTGGTGTTTGTTTTGCGAGCTGTGAGTTGTTATAAGTTGCTCATTGATATTTTATTTGAATGTTTTTAATGTTTATTCTCTTTATTTACTGTCATAACAGCTGCGTCTTCCTGGTGTCGCCCAACGCTCAGTCAGATGACGCCGAGAGCATCAACCGTGCGCAGGCTTTACGCAGATACCGGACTAGTCTATGATTATGAAGGACAACACGGTGAATCTGTAATCTTCAGTTGGTCCTATATATCTATATCTATATCTATAAATAATAAAAAATTAATTATAATTTATAAATTAATAAAAGAGTAACACAAAACTCATGTACATATACACAGTGCTGAAACGGCTTGAAACTGTGGAGACACACTACAAGAAATAAATATTATAAATAATAACACACACACACACACTGGGACAGATAAAACATGTCTATCCATCTCAGGGCCGTAGCTGGGGTTTGCGGGGCCCCAGTGCAGGTTGTACCAGTGGGCCCTGTTTGAAATAGTTTAATTTGCATGTTCGTTCTATTTATTTAATTTGTGCCATTTACACAGTGTTTAAGTGTTTTCAGGTCTGTAGGTGTCCAGATACAGAAACCGAATAATCAAATGTAAAATAGCACTGCATAGTCTTTACTCTAAAAATTAAATATACAGTCAAACCAAAATTTATTCAGACACCTTCAACATTTCTCACATTATCACAGTTTATTTGCTATAGTTTAGAAAATGGTTATAAAATATGACAAGAACTCAAGAGTTAAACTGTGATATCTTGATGTCAGATAACTTTGATAGAAAGGTATGTAATGAATTACAATCAACAAAAAATTCAGACAGCTGTTAGTATGACAATATTTCAGATACAGAAACCGAATAATCAAATGTAAAATAGCACTGCATAGTCTTTACTCTAAAAATTAAATATACAGTCAAACCAAAATTTATTCAGACACCTTCAACATTTCTCACATTATCACAGTTTATTTGCTATAGTTTAGAAAATGGTTATAAAATATGACAAGAACTCAAGAGTTAAACTGTGATAATCTTGATGTCAGATAACTTTGATAGAAAGGTATGTAATGAATTACAATCAACAAAAAATTCAGACAACTGTTAGTATGACAATATTTACACAGCTATCAATACTTTGTTGACCAATTACCAAGCAATGCTTAATTTTGATCAGTCTGTGGTGTAACAATGTTACATTAGCAATTAAAGAAAAAACACTTAAGCAAAACGTGGTCAGATCAAAGTGTCTGAATAATTTTTGGTCCCAAATGTTTTATACATTTTACTGATAGTCCACTGTATGATGAATTTTGGGGTATAATATTTCAGTTTACTTTATTTTGCTATACTCACATAAATGAACTATAGTGTCCTTCACCCACTAGTAAAAAAAGATCAAAAATTATATCTGGTGTCTGAATCATTTTTGGTTTGACTGTGGATTAATTCTTGTTAAAACTACAAAGTAATTGAAGCAGCTCACCCTGCTCGATCAGATCATGGGTCTCTCGTACGATCTCAGGTACTGTAGAGGAGGGAGCAAAATGTGGGTGCAGTGTCAACAAATGCAAATCATACCAATATAGCACCTAGCATCAATTATAAGACAAAAAATGTATTATTTTCCACAACACAAGGTGCAATCAACTGAAAAATTGCTCATAAATATTTGAAAGAAATACATAGTAAATAAATAAATACATACATACATGGTAGTAAAAAATACTAAAATATTGTTGGGAGAAAAACAATCCGTGAATGTGCATCAAAAAAGTACATAACTCAATATAAAGATGTGTTTAAATAAACCAACCTGTAAATGTACAATTGCCATAAAAATAGCTAATAAACAGTTTAAATAAATGTGTTTAAAATTTGGAGAAAACCAACATTTAAATGTGCAATAAACTGACAAATAACTAATACATATTTTATAAAATTAACTAACTAAATGAATAAATACATTAGTAAAAATGACTGAAATACTATTCAAAAAAACAACCTGTAAATTTTCAATCATCTGAAAAATAGCTAATGAATATATATGTCTGAAAAATTAACTTACTAAATACACACATATTTACATACATAAATTGTGGGAAAAAATACCAAAAACTGTAAAAGTGATGTCAACAGGAAAAAAAAAACATATTGGGAAGAAAGTAATAACAATATGATTATTGCTATTTTTATTAGTACATATTTTAAATGACTAAAAAAACAACCTGTGAACCTGCAATTAATTGAAAAACAAATTATATTTTAATTGAGAATCTATGATAAATGACCCAACTAGAGTAAATGAATTGTGCACAGTTTTCTTCAACTCAAGCAGCATCCGGCCTCACCTGAGAAAATGTTTTTGAGGTTCTCGACAGCTGAAGCCAGTTGACTGTGCTGAACCACAGCATCTTTCACGTCCTTCAGATTCTCTATGGTGTTGATGCTCTGCCTCCAGTCTTTACTGACGTCTGCCAGAGAGTTCTGGATGTCTTTCACATCACACAGAGCGTTATGGAGCTGCGTGAGGCCTGTTCGTACCCCATCCAGCTGAGACTGAATAGCAGCCTAAAAAGTGATAAAAGGCTTGGTTTAAATGAACTCGTAAAACCATTCCTCGGATCAACAAATGGTTCAATGCAAGTAGTGTCACCTTTAATCTGGCTTCCACGGATGCTTTCTTGCGCGCCTCTCTCCGTCTGTACTGCTCCACTTTGTCCAGCTGGTCCGAGCGCTGCAGCATCCCAGCAACCCTCTGCACTGCCGTGGCAACAGCCTCTCTGTTCGTCTCCTCCATAGTAACCGATCCCAAACGGCAGGGTTCAAGGTACTGAAATGGAAAAAACAGCAAGGGTTAAAAGTGCTGATAGTGACCCAAACTGCAGGACAAAAGATACTGAATGACCCGACTAAATAAATGTACTCAGTCAGAATGATTGAAACTGATGCAAAACAGCAAGGGTTAATTGCACTGTAGCGTTATTTTAGTACCACTGAGAGAATACCTTTTTTATTACTATTTTGAATTACTATTTATTTTTATGTTCTCTGCTTTAATTCTGCTTCAATTTTATTTAAAGTTTTAGTAATTTTGTTGTTTTTATTAGTTTCTGCTTAAAAAAAACATGTCTATATAGCTTTTATTTCATTTTTTATTTACATTTTAGTTAAATTCATCAAGTTAAACTACATGAAAATAAGAAATAAAATAATTGTACATATTTTACACTTTATTTAATTTCAGTTAACGTTTGTTTTATTTCAAATAACAAAAACGTTTTTTTTTTTTATGGTTTTAATTTTTGTTCCTAATACACTGAAGTGAATCAAACAGCAGACGTTAAATCTTAACAAAATGACATAAACAGCAAAGGTTAAAGGTACTTAAGTATTTTAATATTTGGTGTGTTTTGTGTTTTTGATATACATTCATATATCTGAGTATTTGCATATCTGTATTTGCCTATGTTTGCAGCTGGTTAAACATGCAGTAACTAAGCTAACACAAACAAATAAAAATACGTACACCTGCTCAAAATAGGCATGGTTTAGGAAAAAGATCAAATGAAACTGTAATCGGTTTTATTTATTGTAATAATCGCATATATCTCGCTGAGTTTCTGTGCCGAAAGGCCCACACTGACAGATGCTACCTGGCTAACAACATTAGCATTCAGAGGGCTGCGCTTTTCATACATATATCGTTCAAATCTCGAGGTCATGTGAAGGTACTCACCCGGACCTGGTGTTTGTTTTGCGAGCTGTGAGTTGTTATAAGTTGCTCATTGATATTTTATTTGAATGTTTTTAATGTTTATTCTCTTTATTTACTGTCATAACAGCTGCGTCTTCCTGGTGTCGCCCAACGCTCAGTCAGATGACGCCGAGAGCATCAACCGTGCGCAGGCTTTACGCAGATACCGGACTAGTCTATGATTATGAAGGACAACACGGTGAATCTGTAATCTTCAGTTGGTCCTATATATCTATATCTATATCTATAAATAATAAAAAATTAATTATAATTTATAAATTAATAAAAGAGTAACACAAAACTCATGTACATATACACAGTGCTGAAACGGCTTGAAACTGTGGAGACACACTACAAGAAATAAATATTATAAATAATAACACACACACACACACTGGGACAGATAAAACATGTCTATCCATCTCAGGGCCGTAGCTGGGGTTTGCGGGGCCCCAGTGCAGGTTGTACCAGTGGGCCCTGTTTGAAATAGTTTAATTTGCATGTTCGTTCTATTTATGTAATTTGTGCCATTTACACAGTGTTTAAGTTTTTTCAAGTGTGTAGGTGTCCAGATACAGAAACCGAATAATCAAATGTAAAATAGCACTGCATAGTCTTTACTCTAAAAATTAAATATACAGTCAAACCAAAATTTATTCAGACACCTTCAACATTTCTCACATTATCACAGTTTATTTGCTATAGTTTAGAAAATGGTTATAAAATATGACAAGAACTCAAGAGTTAAACTGTGATATCTTGATGTCAGATAACTTTGATAGAAAGGTATGTAATGAATTACAATCAACAAAAAATTCAGACAGCTGTTAGTATGACAATATTTACACAGCTATCAATACTTTGTTGACCAATTACCAAGCAATGCTTAATTTTGATCAGTCTGTGGTGTAACAATGTTACATTAGCAATTAAAGAAAAAACACTTAAGCAAAACGTGGTCAGATCAAAGTGTCTGAATAATTTTTGGTCCCAAATGTTTTATACATTTTACTGATAGTCCACTGTATGATGAATTTTGGGGTATAATATTTCAGTTTACTTTATTTTGCTATACTCACTTACATAAATGAACTATAGTGTCCTGCACCAACTAGTAAAAAAATATATCAAAAATTATATCTGGTGTCTGAATAATTCTTGGTTTGACTGTGGATTAATTCTTGTTAAAACTACAAAGTAATTGTCAAGTGATATTCTTGATATTCTTTCTTTCATTTTCTTGGATTAAAGGTGGGGTAAGCTATTTCTGGTAGCCAATTGAAATCACCCAGGCAACGATTAGTTCTGTGAAACAAAGCAAAACCAATGTTACACCGTGTCTACACCGGACACGAGTGGCGCGGCGCGACAAAATACTATAGAACTCATTATAATCAGTGATGCTGTCTACACCAGAGATATATAAACATATCTATGGTCTACACTGGATGTGGCGCGGCACGACACGACAAATCCCCGACAGAAAACTCCTGCTGCGTTCTATTCATGACGTATTGACACAAATTTCAAATGATTTTCAACGGTTGCTTTGTCATGTCCAGTGTACTAGACAGACTTTAGCTGTTGCGGCGCAGACACGGTGTTACTCACCTATTGAGAAGAAACAAAGCAACCTCGGCGTCTGATTGCAGGCCTTCCGCTCCTTGAGTTCTCTCCAGCGCTGGAAAGCTGATCCGATATTTACACGGGTCCTACTTCTTGCCTTATTGCCTTAAGCCTTCTTTTGTTCCGCAGACGTTTTCCTCTTTTGTTTTTTATCCACCATCTCCATCTTTCTGTCGCTCGGCTCGGCTAATGTCCGTCCTGTGCACTGAATGCTCTCTCTTCCACATCATGAGTAGACACGCCCGTAGACGCACGTAGACAAAAAAAATAATTTTGTATGTATTTGTCAGTACAAGAGCAAGAAGAGGTACATTCGGTGTTTAAGCGCTTTGAGACGCATCTCTCTGTGTGCGCCCTGTGCGCACAGAACACCGCTCGCGGGTGCTGAATTGGGCTCTTTCACATCTTTTTGTTTGCATGTTTAAACTGCGATTTGTATTTGTTCGTTCAGTTGCAGGAGGACACGAAGGAGAGCTCGGTTCGGTGTTGCTGTCCGTGAGACACGGCTCTCTGCGTGCACACCGAACACAGCGCGCGAGTACTCAGTTGAGTTTTTCCACGTCTTGTGTTTGAATGCTTTAAACTCTTTTGAATGTTTAAATTGGCATGGCTTAAAAACACGTGCAAATGATAAGTGCAAATGATAAGCTTTCGTGACGATGCGCAGCAGTGGTCCGTCAACTGTCCCGAGCGTCTTTTTAGGCTGGCCTCAGCCAGTCGGTTGAGATCGCCTGGGGGCCCCCCTCAGCCGTGGGCCCCTATAATCGTCACCACCTTTCACCTCACTAGTGACGGCCCTGATCCATCTACTGGCTAATTCAGCATAAAATTGTGTAGTGAAATATGAGATATGACAGCCCAAGCTATAACGTCAAAACCACCTGCATATATTTACAAACAGGATTCTTTGAACAATTCCTTCATGAAGTATACTTCCCACACAATAAAAATAAACAAACAAATAAATAAAAGTAAAAAAAAAAAATATTAATATGATTTTAACTGTAGCTTCATATAAAACGGGGGTCAGTTGAATCAAGACAAATGTATTTATTTATGAAGCAAATGCATGTTTAAGTACTTTGAAAAATCTAAAATGCTATACACAAATACATTTTCACATGGGAAATGATCTTTATTTGACTGTATACATATTTTCCACATTAATATCACATTGGATCGCAATAAATCCAAAATCTGTACCCAAAAGAGACAAAATACAAAACAACATCTCCAAAACACCTAGGAACCTGAGTATTTGTGTTTGATTAAACAGTCTCAAATAGTCTAAAATAACTTCTAACTAGTTTTAGTTTATGTCCTGAGGGAAATACCAGCGCTTGCAGCAAACAAGCTACATTTTAGGTAAGTTTATGTTTAGAATTTTGTGGAAAAAAAAAATAAAATTTAGAACTTCTTTAGAACTATTTTGTCATCATGACTTGATTTCAGGTGACAAATCACAATTCATCATGCAAATATGGCAGTGACATTATTCCAGTGGGTAGATCTTACATTTCATCTTAAATTTCGAACATACCAAAGCTATCTACAAAAAAGTTTGTACGTTAATCAGTTGGGCTGAATTAATTGCAGAATTTTGTAGAGAACAAAAGGAAGAATATTAATATACCTTCAAGCACTGCAATTAAAAAGCAATGTTAATGTGATCAGAGTTTACTGCATGTAAACATATGGGTTTGCTTTGTGTAGAACAGTGTTCATAGTGCCATTTGAAGTAATATGTTGTTGCACATGCCCTTGACTAACATCCAGAGGTTCTCGTTTGATCGAGTGCACAAGATTGTGATTCCTGGACTCACAAGTCAGCCGGATATCACGCTGCATGCAGCTTTTATGATCATTTGAAAATGCATATCCGTCCTGACTGCTGATAGGAGCGTCAGAGTGATTCATGTCTTTGTTCAGGACACACTTAAGAGGTCTGCTGACTCCTGCACACAGATACTTGTGTTGTCCGTTGATGGGAGGACTGATGACAGCTTTTCCTCTTTGATATGAGGCACAATAGTCATAATATTCAGCCTCGGATTTCACCTGTGCATATACAGGGCGCCAAAGCGTCCCGTATACGTTACACCCGTTCTCAGAGTCTGAAGCTTCTGTCTTAATGGCCACTTCAGGAATCATGTTAAAACATTCATTCTGCACGTACCTTCTCTCAGCCTTCCTGTTGACACAATAACTCTCAAGCTTCTGCAATTCTGTATTGCATCCGATTCGTGATTTTCCAGAATGGCTGTGCTTATAGACGCTTCCAGGCAGGTTGTTTTCATTGGGCCCCGTGCGCAAGGCAACAGGACAGCGGGCATCCCAGGAAGGATCAACAGCTTGCAGTCTAGAAACACAGAAGTTGAGCGGCTCGTCTTGGGTTTTGCAGCCCTCTCCTCTGTACTTCCTGTTGGTCAGGGATGAGCACGAACCGTCATGACCGGATGAGCTTGTCCAGTTAAGATGTAGCATGTCTTCACTGTCAAACGAGCCATGGGAAACTCGTTGCCTTTCATCACTGAAGATGGTACAAGTTAAACTGATTAAAATACAATTTCTACACTCAAATCACATTTTGTCTTTGTGTACAATGTTTTTGAATACTACTATGACTGAGTAAATAGTACATAAATACCATGGTATATCAACATGGTAATCATACAGTACAGCTGTACACTACCCTTCAAAAGTTTGGGGTCAGTAAAATTTTTTAAATGTTTGCAAGTCGTCTCTTATGCTCAGTAAAACTGCATTTATTTGATCAAAAATTCAGTAAAGCAGTAATACTGTGAAATATTATTACAATTAAAATAACTGTTTTCTATTTAAATATATATTATAGAATGTAATTTATTCCTGTACATCATTACTCCAGTCTTCATTGTCACATGATCCTTATGAAATCATTCTAATATGCTGATTTGCTGTTAAAACATTTCTTATCAATGTTGAAAACAATTGTGCAGCTTAATATATTTTGTGGAAACGCTTTTTTCACCCCAAGACTCTTTGAAGAATAGAAAGTTCAAAAGAACAGCATTTATTTGAAATATAAATTTTTGTATAATTATTAATGTCTATATTGCCACTTTTGGTCAATTTAATGCATGCTTTCTGAATAAAATTATGTCTTTAAAAAAAAATAAAAAAATTGTTCTGACCCTAAACCCCAAAAACATACCGTGCACAGTTCATTAAATAATGTGTTCACAAAATCTTTCATTGAAATGTAATAATTACAAGTTTTCTTGTTTAATATCCAGTTTTATATGAAGTTTTCTGTTGATCTTATGTTGTCTTCAGTTATTTTTTGAGCATTTAAATTGCATGCAATTATTTTGAATTTCCAATAAATATTGCAAAAATCTGTCTCCAGAAAAAAAAAAAGCAATATTCTTTTTGTAACTTTCAATTTCATAATTCTATGCAAAAATGCAGATGAATAGACAGGCAGAATGTGTTAGAGCCCGACCGATATGGGTGTTTTGGGGGCTGATGCCGATACCGATATTAGGGAGTAAAAAAGACCGATACATCGGCCGATATTCTTTGTGTAGGCTATATTATAGTACAGTATAATCAAAAGTTTGGACAGGTACTGTATATCGAATACAGTATATAGCCTACATAAACGGAATATATATACATAAACAAATTTTTGCAATGATAATTCAAATGTGGTGATCAAACACTTATAATGATGTGACAAACATAGGCCTATGTAATGGAGGCAGGGTATTTAACAATTTAACAACAAACTTTATTATTCAAAATGAGTCTGACATCAGTGCACTTAACAGTAAACTTCACTTCACTTATTATAAATAACTTAACACAAATAGAACAAAATATATATAACTTGAATTAAGAAATGAAACAAGGTAACTGTGTAGGGCAAGCAAGATACTGCCAAACCAACAGGGGCAGGTTTATGCAGGAAGCACAGCTTTTCCAAATGTAAACATCTAAAATTAATAAATAATAATAAAAAAAAAATGTTATACACAAACTCTGTGTATTTCTTGTGTATTTTCTGGTAATCAAATGAACATGCAGAACATTCGTATTTAAATCGTCTTTTTGCAGTTTAATATTCACAGACACAGTCTATATAGGCCTATATATATATATATATCCATGAAATTCCGCGTTATACAGTAAATTCAATTTTTATGACTGGATTCCGCGATTCCGTCCATGTTTTCTGCATCGCGGAAATCATAGGGCCCTACTACTGTATCAAACGAATATGATAAGCTCATTGTGAGAGTAAAAGATACTAACTTTTCAATCTGCTACGTTACTGACTGTACTGACAAACTATGCTGACACCGTGTCTGTGCCGCAACAGGACGCGATAAAGTGACAGTTGAAAATCATTTGAAATTTGTGTCAGCACGTCATAAATAGAACGAGGCATCAGTTTACTGCATCCAGTGTAGACAACATACACCGGACGCGAGCCGCGCGATGTGATGTGACCGATGTGATAAGCATGAGTCCTGGGCCGCGGCGCAGCCGGTATAAACACCAGCCCAGCCGCGATCAGCTCCGGTGGCCGTAACACAGGCTTTAATGCGCCGCAGACACGTGCCGTAATGCGCAGATCAGCTCTAGTCTCTAACGTCACTGAATCTGCTGTTAAAAATGAGCCATCCATTCATCATATCATCATGCAAAACTAAGAATTAGAATCAATGTAATGTGACGATCAAATATAGGTGTCTCATATCGGCCGATAATATCGGCTAAACAATATATCGGTCGGGCTCTACAATGTGTATCTGCTGCCACACCTTTTGTGTTTGCTCTTCATCATCATACTCTTCATCTTGAGCTCCATGATGGAGGGCAGGACTAGAGGAACAGCCACACAGAACAGAGCGAGCTGAGGCGGCAGCAGAGCTCCAGAGTCAGTCTTCCTCTGCTGACCCTGCAGGAACTTCAGACTGCCCTGAAACTGCATGTTCTACAGGACACAAGAGCAAATCAAAACAAGACAATCTCAATCGACATACTGTGTGGAAACGTACGTTTGGGAAGGTCTGTGTCTCCTAATTAGAGCTTCTCAACCTTAATTAGATACATCAGATCAGAGTTTGAAAAAGATCATGAAACCACTAGGATTTCATGACTGACCAGGAAGCCGGAGGTACTGTCCAGCAGGCAGCGGACTCGAGCGACGAAGCACCGTGTGAGAAACGGAGACAGTTCAGGAGGAACGCCGTCAGGCACTTCAGCGATATACAGATGACCCATCACAACATCCTCATCTACTAGAACACACACAAAAACAAGACGGGTTCGGAAACAGATGACTTAAGTGTGTAATGACAGATGTGTGCATCTTTTCCATGCAATCATAACGACTGGAGCATATTAGCTTAAAAGTAGATGCAAAAGCACCAAAAAGTATCATAAAAATAGTCCATACAACTTGTGCAATATATTCCCAGTCTTCTGAAATCATATGCAGTGTGCTATATAGGGTTAATGGTAAATATACACACACCAGTGTCTTGTTGGCCAGGGTTCATCGCCCAGTGGAGCTGCCTGTGAAACTCCTGTCGCTCCTCCACATGGATATAATCAAAGACCTTTTGATGCATCACGTCCGTCTGCCAGAAAAGATCACACACCAACATAAAACCAGTACATGTTTATTTCAGAAGCACTCCAGTTCTCGCAACAGTGTGTTTTATGTTGTCTGCACTGACCTCTACACAGTTGTATGGGGTACAGTGAACAACTGCTCTGAAGTCTATAAAGTCTAATTCAGTTTTACATCAAACCACATTAGAAACATGACTGATCGAAATTTCATTGTGGAGCCTTTTCTGTCATTTTAACTGCTGGTAAAACCTTTTTCAAAGGTATTTTAGAGTGTGAGGTTCCTGGCAGAGAGTTCATAATCCATGCAATTATTATTGTGCGTTTGCTTCGGGTTACTATTAATAATCATTCAGATGTCAGAGCCGTGGCACAGAGCAGTGCATTACTAAAAGCTGACATATTAATAGCTGTTGTGCTTGTAATAACCCGTGTTTGAGTTCAACATAGGTCATGTCCCTGTTATTATCATCCTATCTAATAAAAGCCAATAAAATCAAGTAAAACAAATGTAAAATAATTTTTAAAAAGTAAAATAAAATATTTTTTAAATAAATAAAAAAGTAAAATAAAATGATGACAAATTAAAAATAAGCAATGTATAAAGTAAAAAATTACAATTTACTTAATTTAATTTAATAAATAAAATTTAAATGCAAAACAAAAATAAAAAACTGATTTCCTTTGATCTGTGATCTCATGTATAATGCACAGTATGCTTGAACCCACAAATCCCTTTTTTTCACAGCCCCATGTGTTTGTTGCGTGACACCAGGGCTGCTTGCATGCGGACAGACGTGTCTCTACACTTTAAGAACAACAAAACAAAAGCCTGAAATACCAGCCCACATGACCATACTCGCTGTTCATAAACAACAAACTCTGCCTAAAATATTCAACCTTTCCTTTATTTTCCAGCCAGACTTTTAGCACACTTTCATGACTAACACACCCCTATGTCATCTTAATTTCCAATCAAAATTTCCTTCTTGGAGGAGATGGTTTGTTTGCAGAGGAAGCCTGACTCTTTGAAGGCTATGAGAAAGTCTTAAATTAACCGAGGGGTGAAAAGACATAACTATTTTTACACATTATGGTGGAAGAGGCCATTAACACGACATCCTTCTGTGTTTTCCAGTCAACCGCAGATGGCGTGAGTATTTCTTATACAACCACACATGATTGTTGTTTAGATTTCTCTGATGAGACAGGAATTTTATTTGAGAACTGTTTAAAAAGGTAAAATGAGTCACATACTGGATTTATACTTTATTTGTTTGGATTGTCACACATAAAAGCTAAATACACATACTACTACAATAACTGCAGTGCAGTGAAATACCACCCTCTCTCCCTCTATAAATATATATGAAAAATAAACTCATTAAATGTGAGCATTTGAAAAAGTTACGGGATGTTTAGATCATAAACATTTAATTATTCATACATGTTGTATTTGTTGATTATAGGATCACATTTAAGGGTTACCTGATGAAATCCCAGGTAGTCAACGATGGTGGATGATGCATAGAAAATAACACCATCCGAGCTCACAATCAGCGCAAATCCAGGCAGAGACTACAAGATATGAAATATGTGTCAATAGTCATGTCACTAAAATTGTATGTGCAAAAAAGAGATTTTTTTCCAGTAGACTGGGCCAAAGAATTTAAATTAACCACATGGAAATCTATAAATTTTTTTCTTTGACACGAAACTATTTCTAAACTGTAGTAAAGGAAACTCCAGTCATGAGCCCACAGAAAAGCAGTCACCTTTAGGAGAAGATCACTATCTATGACATGGGGCAGGATTTCTTTCTTGTGCGCCGAGGTCAAGGCATCACTGCTGTGATTTTCTTTCTCTTGGACCGCTGTGAGGAACAAGTGCACAAAAGACAGAGAAGGCGATAAAGACAGAATCTAATTATGAGATAACAAGCACCAAAGTTCTCGTTTTTTTAAACAAAGATTTTTAAAAGGAAACCCTTCTGTCTCATTTAAAGGGTTAGTTCACCCAAAAATGAAAATTAGACTGTTTT